CTGCTAATTCTTGCAGGTTTTGTGGTTTACTGTTGAAAGAGACAGTGGTAACTGATTAGGTTTACTGTAGTCATGTCAGGATCAGCCCCGGAGGAGCCTCAGACCTCCATTCCTCAAAGCACAGCTAGTCTTCCTGATCCTGCTCCGGTTGCTGTCGGACCTGGAGGCTCAAGTGACGTTTCCTTTGGTGAGCAAAATCTTAGCTTCACCACCACAGACGTCAGCCTGGTGGAGATGATGGAAATTGAGTATAGCCAGCTGCAGCACATACTTCACTCGCATGCGGAGGCACAAGCTAGTGAAGGTGAAGTGGAAGCTAGGCTCAATTCTTTCTCCTCGCCTGGTAATTCTGCAGACCCCCCTCTGCACCAGACCTCACTGAACACCGGTCAGGAGGGGTGTTCATCAAACAGCTCTGGGAACCAGTCGGTTTACCCAGTTATCTATCAGTCAGGATTAACTTCTGACAGCAATTTGCTAAGTTCAAACCCACGTTTGGGCTATGCTGACTTTCAGGAGCTCAGAATGATGTTACTTAGCGAGTCTAACCTCCCTTTGAACCAAACAGATAAAACGCCTAACAGTAGCTCTGCAGAAGTCCCAGGACACAGTTTAGTGAAAGTTAAACATGGTGAAAATTTTGTTGGGGCGAATAAAGGAAACATACTTGTTGAAAATTCGGCACTGGCACCAGAGCCTAGATCTAAATCTGCAGTCAGAGTTCGGTTGGAAGACAGATTCAACAGCATCCAGACAGAAAACCCCAGATGTCAAGAACCCCAAGAATCTGGAGTAACTCTTAACAAGTGTGTTGCAATTAATTTTAGTTTATGTTGTTAAACTATGTGTCATCATATAGTTCAAAACTGATTTTCTACACCAAGCCTAAGAACAGTACTTTTCTTAAGACATGAGAATGATGGGTTGGGCTTTTTTAAACTGTGCCAAACGTGGCTGCAACTCCACTGACCTCTGAGTAGGCCCCGCTGTATATTGCATCAACGGTGCAAAATGTAGTTCCAAAGTTAATTACTTTACTTTACAACTTCATTCTTGATAACAACATGTAATGTAAATAAAGGTAAGAGAAGAACATTACCTAGTTTTAGCATGCAACTTACGGCAAAGTAGATTTTTGATCATAATATTAAGATCAACTGATTAGTGTTATAATGTGGAAGCCTGACTACAGGGAAAACTTTGAGCAAAACTACTGTTTTGCAGTCTGGCCCCATAACTGTATTAGTGTGCTGATGAGGAATGTTTTGTTGAGGCATAAAGCTGAATTGTTACTGCACAGAATAAAATACCTTCTCAGCTGATCTTTTTTTTTTTTTTTGTCCCTGAGGTAGGCAATATGGCAATAATAATGATTTCTGTCTACAGTAAATGAAAGTGGTTTCTTGGTGATAGTTACTAGATGTATGTGTAGCTGTAAATTTTTCTGCACTCATTTTCAGGTAGTCAATCTGGTATGTTTTCTGTGTTTTTTTGTTTTTTTTTTTTTTTTTAAGTTTAGTAACATTGATTCGACAGCCATCAGAACTGATAGGCGTTCCTCTTCATCAGCAAGAAAACAAGTGTGCTGCATTAGGGAAAAATAAGAGTGCATCTGCCGCACCTTCTTTACCGTTCACATACCCGTTATTTACTATGAACGCATGTTCTACTGCTGGAAGTGTTAATCCTTCACAAGCACAGGTAGATGATGTATTCACCACTACTTGTACTCTGCTAATTTAAAGTGCCAATGATGGTAGCCTCCTAGGTGTAATATAATGCTAAAAGTTTGTGTTAAAATGTGACTTGGTTTGAATACGGATGATCAGAATGATCCGTAATGCAATTTATTTTTCTTACATTAATCTTTAAGACCATCAAAAATAATTTGCCACACAAACTGATTGTGTGGCAGTTACATAATTTGTAATAACGTGCATCCTGGTAATGATCAGTAGGCCATTACATTTCTTACTGGAAGGACTTTTTTTTTTCCTTTTTTTTTTTTTTATTATTTTTCATGAAAAATGTTTTTCCCCCCCAACTCACTGTAACCTCTGAAGAAAGAGTGATAGCATGGCACACAGAAATGTCAGAGGTATCTGAAAAAAATACAGCAGTCTGTTAAAATCCTATGGTTGTATGCAGAAGGCATTGGTATTTATTCTGATACAACACATTGACTCAACAGGGCCAAAACATAAGAAGTTAGCATGAAGGTATAAAAATAGTCTCTTTTTTATGTATATTGTCCTCTAAGTATTTCCTTTTTCGTTTTCACAGACCTCTGGAACTTCTTGCACTACTTTGGAAGCTGCCAAACACCAAGACCTTGGGATACCCAAGACATTCTCTTTCTGCTATCAGGAAATTGAATCTGCAAAACAGACAGTAGGTGCTATGAATAAATCTTTGCCTGAGGAAGTTTGGCTTAAAGTTGGAGGTAAATCATTTGTCTTCTTTTCACTTCGCTTTCTCTTGGCTTTCAAATCTACTTTTTTTTTTCTGAATTTGTGTGTTTTTTGGAATTAATATGATTTTAGTGAGTCGCGTGAGGTGTGGTTTTTCATGTCTGAGATGTGCTATAGGCAATATGGGACTAGATTTCTCAAAAAAAGTTCAACACCTATGATTTTAGTTGTACTTTTAAAATTGTTTAGCACTTCTAGCTTGAAATGAGAAAACCCAAGGTTGCAAAGTACCTTTGAAAATCTGGGCCTAGAGTAAGCAACTGGCTTCTTTCTACACTGTTTGACCCCGAAGTTGATGTAGCAGATGCGGTCAGTATCAGACTGAAGAACATTTAAAGGACTGCCATTCAGTCCTTTAAAGAACATTTAAAGGATGCTTATCCTTTAAATAAATAAATTAAGAGCATTTAAAGGGTGCTAATCAAAGGCAGGCATGATTTCAATGGGCCTTCTGAGAAAATAGAAGCTAGGTGAATTTTGAAACAGCAAGCAGTGCCGTAGGGCTTCTGAAGGACATGCGCTGCTATAAGAGTCAGTCTAGGTTGGCAATAAAGCTTCAAAGATTATCCCACATAAATAAAGCGACAAAAAAAAAGTCTCAATGATCTTAATTTTCAGTGATTAGTGGGAAGGTTATAAATAGGTTCTTCTCCTCTTTGTTTTTCCAAGAAGACACCTTATGCAAGCAAGCAATAAACAGAAGAAGTTGCAGCCGAATAAGCCCATCGGATACAAACGTAGATCGCAAACCTCTTAGTGAAATTCAAAATATGTGTGATGATAGCCAGAGTACTGCATCTGCCCAGGGTCCCTGGCAGGCAGCACAATCAAATTCAAGTCTGCTTGTGCAGAGTGGTACACAGGACGGAATCGCACAGCGAAGGGAGAGACACAACCGCATGGAGAGAGACAGAAGGTAGTTTCGATGAGGAGTGGCAATACAAAGTTTTTGAAGCCTGAAGTACTGATACTGTAATACTCCTGTCATTATCCAGCGTAAAAAGTAAATTTGACATATTTTATTTTATCTACAAGAGCAAGGAATGCAGGTGGTGAGGGTTTGGTGTTAGAGGAAAAAATACGTATGTTTCATTGTGGGCGTATTTGTTGGTTTTTTTACTCTATAAACAAACAAAAAGAGAATTCAAAACATTTAACCAATTCTATAAAGATAGGTAACCCACATATAACATGACTAATATACAAATACAAAGCTTTGTAGCAAACAAAAAGAAGTCCCCAAAGTCCATGGCTTGTGAGTAGTTTCCCTTTTTAAATTTTTTTCTTTCCTTCTTGCCCATCGGTTGATAACCTTTTGTACTTGTCTGCAGGCGCAGAATCCGGATTTGTTGTGATGAGCTCAATCTTCTGGTTCCGTTCTGTACTGTTGATACTGATAAAGCAACAACTTTACAATGGACGACTGCATTTCTGAAGTACATTCAGGAAAGGCATGGCGATTCGCTGAAACAGGTTTTAAATCTAATTTCATTTTCGTTCTTGATAAAAATGTGAACTGTTTTAAAGCTATCGTAACATAGCTAAAAGTATATGGAATGCTCCTGCTTGATGCTGTTTTTGAAGGACCACTGTATCATTGAACCTTTAATTTCTTTTTTTATTTTTTATTTTTTAATAGCTGGTTCAGTTCAGTACTGTGAAATCATAGGCTGTCCCCAGTCAGGGTTTTCAAATCAAATTTAAAAATTTTATTTTTATTTTTTAGTTAGCCTAGTTCCCAAGCATGATACTATCTGGACAACAGTGTAGAACTGAGGTCCTCTTCAACCATTCCTTCCCCTTTTTAGTTTTCTCTGTTTCCCACCTGTTTCACGGAGTTGTCTTCTAGTTAGTTCCCATGAACTAGTGATGGGATTTGCAGCTACATGCCCACACTGTCTCAAAGTGCGTGAGAATAGTAAAGGCCTGTATGCCCTATAAGCAGCTCCTGTGCTGCCACACCAGTAGTTAGAACCCCTGAGTAATTCTTGCTCTCCTAAAATTCTTAAGAGAGTAGATGGAGTGTGTATAGGAAAACCTGCTTGTTGAGATACTGGTACGGCTCCTCAGCACAACCTATTAAAGGTTCTTTTTTTTTTTCCCAAGACACTAGTGAAACAAAAACATACATCTCAAGAAACTGTCTACATTAAATGTAATTGATATTTATTTTTTGTATTTTGATTTTTAGGAATTTGAGACTGTGTTCTGTGGTAAAACAGGCAGGAGACTAAAAATAGCAAGATCAGACTCATTTGTAACATGTCCAGTGCAGGAAAACACGCATGGCTATGGAGAGCAAGTAGTCTGAGCTGACCGCCTTGAATCGTATGACAAGTGTGGCTAACTAACAGTGACCCAAACTGTATTTTATTTTCTCCGTTTACATGCTGAATAAGAATTGCAAAATATAACTTGTAAAAATATATAAATAGAGCTTTACAGAGAACATTCTTTATTCAAAATGGAAATGAATGTTAAGTACCAGCATCAGTGCCCTCTTAAAGGGGCTTTGGGACCAGAAACTACAAGAAAATGCCATGACAGCGAAGTATTTTTCCCCTTCAGTTGTAAAAAATGTGTTCTTTTTCTGTTTGTGGTTCTGCTTTGGGATTTTTTTTTGTTGTGGGTTTTGGGTTTTTTTAAAGATGATCCAGTACAGTTAGGAGTAGTTGTAGAACATCAATCTGTCCTGTTATTTTTATGACTAGATGCAAATGTACTCTTCAAGTGTAAAGAGAAATTAAAGTTTCCATATTATAATGCCCATTTCTGCCATTAACATTTTAAAGGCTATTTGGTTAATTGAGTAAGGGCACAGTGTCTAAACTGTGCCGATACTATGAAGTTCGCATTTGCCATACATATTTTAACATACTTGGCCCCAAAGAGTAATACAATGCTGTTAGCATTTTTTTTTCAATACAGTACTATTTTTAATGTCTATCACAAATCTGTCCAACAGTTGCTTGTATTGTTACTTTAGTCCAAGAGTGGCATATTGTAAAGAGTAGATTATTTAAATGCAGGAACTATTTTCATATTTAAAGATTAATATGACTCCTTTGTTCATAAGCTTTAGCATATAGGTCAGAAATAGAAGAGCATGTGAGCTGAGAGTGGTTTTATTACTTTTTTTAAATACATGATGCTAGCAGGTTTTAAAGTACAAGAAGGTCTCCCAAAATAAATACTGTTTTAAATCACGGATATGGACAATTTTGCAGCAATTTCTTTCCAAACACTCCTAGTAAAACCATTTCTGGAAGATGGAGTTCAGCTGAGATACTCTGATGTATAGAATGACACAACTTCACAAAGAAAAGGTTAAAAAAAATCTCCTTTTATTTTTACAACAGTTCGTACAGGTGCTTTTGGTGGACTTTAGAAGAACATCCTTTCTTATTTGGGGTTTCATTCACAATTACTGTGCAAATAGCTTAAGTAGAGGTCATGAAAATGCTGTTACTTTATTTCCTTTATTTTAATTCACAGGGGAGAATTTTTGTGCATTTCCATATGATAATTTGATTGCAAGAGGATTACTATTTACTGGTCTTGGCAAATATTTGAGGTGCAGTCTGAAAATTGGTAATTGACAGCATATATGTAAGTTAGGGTCTTCAGTTAGGCCAGAATCTTAAGATACTAAAAGACAGGATATTTAAATGCCTAATTTCCACTGCTCTAAGTAGCAGTTAGGTGCCTGAATACCTTAACAATGTGTGTCTTAGTGCACAAACCTGCATAACTGAAGTCAGTGGGAGCAGCACCAAGGAATGCAATGGACAAGGCCCAAGGTTTATACAGAGAAGTCGTGATCTCTAGTACACAGTTAGGGGGGTAATGGTAAAAAGGAACAACGCTTCCTCCTGCGGGTCTCGTGAACAAAGGGAGAAAGGGAAGGTGAGGTCGGTTAGCAGTAAAAATTGTGGAAAATAATGGGGGGGGAGGAGAAAATACTCATAAAGCATCTTTTAATTAAAGCTTTCATCTGATGCTTTCTTTTTCATAGAGCTGTGTCAAAGTCTCCACTTAATATAATAGAAGGAACATCTGTCCGTTTATCACTAGGAGGATTCTGTCTGTTTTCTTACAATGCACTGTTTTATTTAAATATTCAGTCACTTCTCCACTGCTTGTATTGTTGTTTTATGATTTTTTGGAAGTCGATGCTCCAACAGCTCCCATGCAAGCCGACGTGTCACATATGCCTGGAGTTCCCTGAGCCCCAATAGCACCAGGAATACCAGGATCCCCTGGAAGACCGGGTTCACCCTGAGCACCATCACGACCATTTTTAGTAATTCCAGGTACACCAGGTGGTCCTAAACAAGAAAGGGAAAAAGATTACATGAATTACTTCCTTGCCCCTCTTTTCTTTTTAACATATGTGTATATATATGTTTTACTTTTAGAGTTCTTAAAATATTTTGAGTGTCGGTACATCAGACTTGTTATGGCCTGTTGAATACATGGTGTTGAATAAATTTAGCCTGAATCTGGAGTGTGTGCGCTGGATTTTGTAGAGTACCTTTGGCTTTACTGGACTTACCTCAGCATAGGTGAAGGTGGATGTTTAGTATTGCACTTTTGTTACTTTTGACTTTTGCTGACTGCTGTAGAACTGGAATCCCTCTCAGTACTGCCTCAGTTAGTGTAAGGGCCCCATGAATAATAACAAGTAATTTGTAACCGGAATTATTTTACATCATCCCTGAGTACTTTGCTCAAGGGATGTCCTGGATGAGTGAGCTCACAGCTTACTTATTGTGACAGTATACATCCGTCCCTCCTTCCTGGCCCCCAGCTGCTTCAGTTCATTGCACCTCCTTAAGTCTGGTTGTAATTAAGATTCTGAGTAAGGGAAGGAGAGTAGAGAGAATGATGATGCAGACGGTCTCCCTGACATTTATACCCGTGTCTAATTTCAAAAATTTGCTCACAAAGAAATACATGTTTTCCTTATTGGGAAAAATAATTTCTGCTTTGGGTGGATTCAAGCTGGTTTTTTATTTTATTTCTTTTTTTTCTTCAGATGCCACACATAATTCACAAAACACTAATTTCTTTAACAGCAAGCTACTGAAGCTTTCTTAAATACTGCAAAATATGATTCTGTCTCCCTGAGGGACAGCTGTATCAGGCATTCTATAAGCCTGCATTCCTGTCTTAATTATGATAGATCTTCTCATTCGTGTAAGTGATGAATTGCATCTATTGTTGATCTCCTTACATTTCACGAGTAGGACAAATGCTCTCAATATCATGTGAAACATGGTCTCTTTTTGCATGCTTTGGAAAAGAAAACATTTATGGATTGATACAATTATTTTATGGAAGAATCTAAGACAACCGGATATAAATATTCTGGTTTTATGAAATTATATGGATGCAGAGCCTGCAGCTTACTAACTGTGTAGATATAATTGCAATTAGAAAAGCTGCTTTAATAGGTGAGCAAAATAAAGAATAGTGTTCTGAGTTTCTAATAGATACTAATTAATTTGCGTAAATTAATCTTTGCATCCTCTGCTGAAGGATTCAGGAGCTGGCATTATAGCCAGGTACAGAGCAGTAACACCACTATACTCAAGATCATTACACTAGGAAGGTATATTTGTTTTCTGGTAAAAAGAAATATTGTGCCTGATTTCTCGTTTGATCCATAAACATGAACTGAATTTTGGAGGACTAGGGCTGGTAGTCCAGGCTGTAGCTTTCACTGTGGGCGTGGGTCTGGAGCACAAGTCTCACGAGGAGCGGCTGAGGGAACTGGGGTTGTTCAGTCTGGAGAAGAGGAGGCTGAGGGGAGCCCTCATCGCTCTCTACAGCTACCTGAAAGGGGGTTGTGGTGAGGTGGGGGTTGGTCTCTTCTCCCAAGTAAATAGGAATAGGACGAAAGGAAATGGCCTCAAGTTGCGCCAGGGGAGGTTTTGATTGGATATTAGGAAAAATTTCTTCACCAAGAAGGTGGTCGAGCATTGGCACAGGCTGCCCAGGGAGGTGGTGGAGTCACCATCTCTGGAGGTGCTCAAAAGACGTGTGGATGTGGCACTTCAGGACCTGGTTTAGTGGGCTTGGGGGTGTTGCGTTGGTGGTTGGACTTGATGATCTTAAAGGTCTTTTCCAACCTTAATGATTCTGTGATTCTTTAAGCAGGGCAGCACAGGAAACAGGCAGCAGGCATGATCCTTTTGCCTTAATCGGGAGCCAGAGCCTCACAAGTGTTAGGCACCTTTAAATGAACTGATACACTGCTTGCTAATTAACTGGTTAGTTACTGCATATGAAGTACCACTGAAAAGAATAACCTTCTGACACTGGCGACCACGTGGGAATAGTTAAGAAGAGTTCTGACTTCCCGATCTATAAAAGCTCCTGACCTTTCACAGCCATTAGTTGAAGAAACCAAGAACAAATGAAGAGTCTGGCTGTCTCAGCAGCCTTTTCTCAAAAACATTCTCCAAAACATTTAGGACTAGACAGGAGAGGTGTGAAGAGGGGATGTGCTAATTACAAATTTTGTGTACCTGCTGTACCTACAGGAAAACAACCCTACTGTAACGATTACAGGGACAAAGTGATCGTAATAGACTGCCAACAACATGCAGAGCTGTCCCTCTTAAGCCTTTACATCAGTCACGGTTTATTAAATTATTTGCACAGCCTTACCTTGAAGTCCTTGATCGCCATCAGGCCCATCAATACCTTGACCAACAGGTCCTTTATCTCCCTTTTCGCCAGTGTCACCTTTAATCATAAATAGACAATTTCAGCAACGAGTTGTGCACTGCAGCTGGATCCAAGGACAGGAAGGGGAAGGACCAAGAGGAACTCAAAACCCTCAGGGCACTGCTAGGATCTTTGCTTCCACTGCATCCCTAAAGATGCAAAACTGCCCTCTAGAACTCCATCGGCTGCCCAAGGCCTGATCTTTCTTCCTCCCCTGCTTTTATTTCGGTGGGCATAAAAGAGAAGCAGGTTGGTTCAGTCTTACCTCTGGGACCAGGATCACCAAGTTCTCCCGTTGGGCCTCTGTATCCAGGGGGGCCGCGAGGACCAGGATGCCCAACGCTTCCCGTAGCTCCAGGAGGACCCGGGGGACCAGCTGGGCCAGGGCGACCCGTCATTCCAGGAGACAAGGGCTTTCTCAGATTAGCAGCTAACTGGGCAATTTGATCTGAAAAGAACAATTAAAAACTGCATGTCCAACATTTTCACTCCTTGCTTGGCCGTTGGTCGTTTGTTCAGTGCGCTTAATGGAGCGAGCAGCTGAAAAGGGAGCGTCTGACAGCACAGCGGAGCTGCACGCTCGGGCGGACCTTGCTCCCTCCGCTCCCACACACTTACTGCGTCTGGCGGAAGGAAACACCACTGAATCTGTCCTCTCGGCTCATCTGTGGCTCTATTTTTTTTTTTTAAACCTCCGCAGAGGGAGATTTTGGTCAGAAACCAGCAGGTGCTTTAAGCCATTGATATTTCCTGTGTCCTAAACCCCCTAAAAAAGTATCAAGTATTCTAGAAAAATGATACTTAAATAATTAAAACAAGTTTTCTGAAGCAATATTTCAGAGTTTAAACACTCCTGGGGAGCTGGCTGCGGCCCGGAGCCCCGCTCCAGGGCGATGGGAGCTGAAGTTCAGAATGACACGGGTTCTCGCCCGCATGCGCCTGCGGTACTTGTGTCAAAGCTGCTTCTTCAACATATGTTGCCATGATGAATCATTGGAAAATACTAATTTTAGAAAAATGAAAGTCAACCCAAACAAAAAGGTGAATAACTTCCTTACATTAAAGGTCAGTGTATTTTTTTCTCATTAAGACAGAAAAATAACAAATCTCAAGAGTCATCTTATGTTCAGGATCTACTCATCTTCAGCTATATATGGTAATTAAAGTCATTTTTCTCCCAGTAATACTCACCATTTATCATCTCCCCACAGAGTTCTCTTATATGTTGTTCACTGGCCTCTTTGCCCTGCAGTAAACAGAAGAATCTGTCCTTAAACAAACCACATTATTGATAATCATCCCTGACAGAAGCTTCAGGACATGAAGCTCATTTCCAGCAGCTCTGTAAGCAGCGTGGGATCCCGTGTGAAGGGGAGTGGGGGTTTTTTCCCCTCTTCAAAAGATGACAGCTTCAGTTTAGAAGCTTTATCATATTAATGGCAGAGATTAATTTTAGCATTAGGCCAGATATTTAACCTGGGGCTTATCTGGCCTTTCCTGAATCATGAAACATGAGCTCTGGACTAAGACAGAGGCGAATAGCAGTTGTATTTTTAAATGACCAACTTCTAACTCACTTTTGCAACGAGAACAGGGACTTACAGCCCGTTCCAACGGATGCAGATAACCTGTTTGTGTATCACTGTGAGAGAAGATTAATTCTCCAAAGCATGCATTCCGGGGGGTTTAATTCTGAAGCTTGCAAGCTGTTAATCTTTTTGCACTGCTGAACTCGTGGTGCAAGCCTGAGCTTGCACCCGCCGTTACCTACTCTCGCCTGTTCAAGTGCAGGGCCTTATTTTTTGAATAGGCATCCAAAATCCACCATTCATATACTCAGTTCTGTGACTCCCTGGCTGTGCCCCAGAAGCAGGCAACACTTACAGGAGGCCCGGGTTTTCCTGTGGCGCCAGGAACGCCTCGCTCGCCCTGATGGCCCATGGGCCCTGGATGTCCTGGGATCCCGGGTGCGCCAGCTGTCCCGTTAGGTCCTTGGACACCTTTTGGACCAAGTTCTCCTCTTTTTCCTGGCTGTAATGAAGGAGGAGGAAAAAAAGAAAAAGAAAAAAACCCACCCCAACACTTAAAACTGAAGACATGGTCCATTATTTTCTCATGAGGATCAGTTAAGCCTTCCTTTGGGTCTCCCTAACTGATCTGGCTGATCACGTACGTTTCCAACGTCGTACGGTTGAGTTTACACATACAGGTCATGGTAATAGGAGTCCATGCTGCCGCAAAATGATCGAACACATTGGAATGTTTTGAATGCCACAGAAAATTGTGATTATCATAAATTTTATAGCATGGCTGTGACAAAACCCTGCCTCTAGGAAATGACGCCAGAACGTAGTTTATGGAGATACATCATCGAAAGATGCAATAAGCATGTCTTCTCCCAAACCTTTCGGGGAGTAAGCCCACAATGTCTGACACATACCTCTCCTTTTTGGCCGGGGGGACCAAAGGGACCCTGTTAGCAAGAAAAGGGAAATAAAGAGTCATCCATTTGGAAAAGACGCACCTGAAGTCAACTCTCCCAAGCTCTGGGAAGCCGCCACGACGCGTACGTGGCACCTAACGGGCTTTTCTAGCGAAGGGGCCAGGAACGATGACAGGATGCTGGAGGCCAGATTCAGCCCTGGCACAACGGGGAGAGGACTCCGACGCCGAGACGTGCCCCGGGCAGCGATGCTGAACGCAGGCCTGGGCAGCCTGGCTACTTCTCGAGAGGAACTACATCCCCCCCCAAGGGCAGAGCAATGTCAACGGTGCTGAGGAGCAAAATGACAAAGCAGAGCTGACACGCCACAGTTCTGCAAAGGCCACGCTGGCTGCCTGGTGCCGACTGAAGACCGGAGGAGAGCTGATGCGCACCGCGACTGCGGTGGTGGAGGAAAGGCTTGGCTTGCCGTCTCCTTTTTGCAGCCAGCAGTGTAACGGGAGGTGGGTTGGAGCTCTTGGTTAATTCTGACTGTATTAGCTCTTGATTCATGGTTCTCTAGACCCGTCTATTATTTGAGGAGTCAATTCCTCTAAATTCAAGGACACCTACCAGTTCTCCTTTGTCACCTGGGAGGCCATCTGCTCCAGCAATGCCCTGAAAGTGAGACACCAGAATTAACACCGCACTTAGCGGTGCACAGAGGTCATAGGGCTCTCCCTCAGACTTGGATAACCTCAGCCCCTATGGTAAACGGGGGCACTTCGCAGCTCATACAGCTGCTCCAGCAAAAAGGCGTTCTCTCCTCCCAAAGCTGACCTCTACAGTAGCTGTTCTCCAGCTGACGGCGGCACTTGTGGTGCAAGGACTAAGTGCCCTTTGCAACACGCTGGTGCATACTTGGATGAAAGGCTGAATTCATACAGATGAGAGCCCTGACGGGGTGGCCATGAAAGACGTCCACAGGCTGGCACTGGCATTCCTCATACCGGGAATCTAATTTGCAGGTTCCCCAGCTATAGGTCTCACAGAAAACATGGGTTTGCAGTGACTTTTTTCAGTGTTCAGTGTAACTGTGTCCTCTAGGCTTCCTCAGTGGAAAGAGTCACCTGCACAACAGCTTCATCCCACCCTCGAGCAGAAGCGATCCATCACTTGGCGAGGACCATCCCTCTCCACTCTCTCGGGACCGTAACGCAAGAGTGGCTAAAGCTCGGGTGCCATGGATTTTAGTAGCCGCGACACGGAGCGCCGGCTTGCTGATCACCTGCGTGAAGCCAAGAGCAGCGTGTGCAATTCCAGCACCGCTGGGGGCAACACGAGTGGCGGCAATCTGCCGCCGCCGGCTGCACGGGCAGCGCGTCCCGCGCCCAGCGCTCTGCAGCGGAGCTGCCTTATTACACGGCAATTAGAGCAGAAAACGAGCATCGTTACGGTGACTATATGGCCCTAGAGGGGAAGTTATTTCAAGAGAAATGCCGGTTGGGTTGGTCTTTCCCTTAGCAACAACACAGGGAGCACACAGACACGGACACCGGTACAACGCTTGCTGGAAAAGCACTCGTTTTCTGCAAAAACAGTCATGCGTTAAGAAGAGTCATATATTTGATGAAAACTGGCTCAAAAGGTCATCACGGAGATTAATCCAACTGCGGAAGTTGAGCAGCAAAAAGTAAAAGATTAAGTTAGTCTGTTAGCCTGCCAAGCTTTGAGGTTAGGACGAATCCGCTTCACCAGGCTCATCATCTTCAGTGAAACATCAGAACAATGTTTAGTGAAAAGCTGCACTTCTAAACTTAACCGGGGAGGAGGATGGTGCGAGGAGCTCATATACAGCAGGCCTTGTGGTTACAAAATAAACAGCAGGAGTCTAGCATTTCTACCACAGCGTTTTCCTGTGTCTCCATTAGACCCCACAGACTACATCTCTTTCGCCAACACACGAGAAATGGGACCAAAGAGGGTTTTGGTCCTTCTTTGAAAAAGAGAATATTGGTTGAAGGTTGAAAAGAGAGTATTTTCATTTGAGGGAAGGAAAAGCAGGCTGTGCTGTCAAAGGTTGCGCCTAAAGTACGGTTTAAATGCCTCTGCTGACTACAGCATGAAAGTTATCCCAGGAGGAAGAGCAGCTTCACTTACCTGGTTACCTTTGGGACCCGGAACACCAGTAGGACCCTAAGAATAAGTAAAAGAAGGCCAATGAGCTCAAACCGTAATTTTCCTGTGAATTCCTGGTGCGGTCAGACATGCACTCACTCAGCAAGGGGTTGGGAATTAGTCTCCTAACTGCCAAGTAGGAGGGACCAAATCTTATTCATACTTCTTAGAAACAAGAAGAGATTTTAAGCATCCTTGCTAGCTTTGTAGCACTCTCTACAGTCACCGGTTTGTGTGGTAGGACAGTTTCTCAGGCCTCTTGCCTACAGCGCAGAGCAGCTGCCAGACCAAGCAGCACCTCCCAACTCAGGCCTGGGGGTCTTCTGCCCACCAAGTCCTCATCCTACCAGACCAGACAGACCTTCCTGACATGGCTGGGCAATGCACTGCCTGACAGGGGTTATCTGCTCTGGCCTTTTTCATACCATCCTCCTCAATCTCCTAAATAAAACTAAAATTAATTCTGTGCTTTTAATTCTAGTCTTTAAAACCTGTCTCACAAAAGTCATCTTTCTTATCCATCCCAGGGACAGGAACTCCGTTTTGCTTCTGCCCTTCTGCTTTTCATCATTGTCATCTCACTATCATGACTGAAACAGCAATTTTACAAATTCACAAATTAAAGGATGAGGTCCAGGATGAGACTGGTGGGCAATCTCTGCCTTTCACGCCTGAAGATGTGAGAATGAGACTGAGTTTACTCCTGGTATAAAATGGACGAGAACATTTTTGTACCACCGGGGCAAAGAGCCAGGATGGGTTTTCAAGGCTTTATTAGACTGTCAAGTTTTCCAGAGTTAGGTGCTCCTGACTTTGAGGTTCATGGCCACAGGCATAAAATACATTTAGATGATGAACCGATTGTCACCCTAGGAATAATTCAGGCAGCCTTCCAACTTTAACTCTATCTACCTGGCATTCACAGAGAGGACGTGAGGCACTGTCAGCCCTCTCCTGTGACTTTGGGTCCATTTAGCAGAGCCAACGAGGACTTCAGGAGTACCCCAGAATCTTCTCTCTACTGCAAAATCTACATGGGAAATGTAGATGTCCTTCAAACAGGATTTCTACAGCTCATTCATCAATCCGGCATCTGCAAACTGATCTTTTTTTAATAACTAGATCTGGAGATGGCTCAGCAGAACAGAAACTTAGAGAAGGACAAACGCATATAATCAGGGCATGTCATTTTGTTCAAGTCAAGCACTGAACAAGTTAAAAAAAGGGGGTGGGGAACTTCTATTCAAGAAAAAATAATTCTCGTTAAAACAGACAATGGAATGTGGAAATGCAAGAATGGCTACGGCTATTTATAACTCCCCTTCTATGTTTGCCGATGGCAAAGGCGATATATTCTTTTCTGAACATTATCATCTAGATTTATACCTCCAGCTTCACAGAGTCCCAAAGCTCCATGAAAGTTTATGACGATAAAGCACAGCTTAGCCACCAAAGGCTGCGTCCTGCCAGGAACAGTCCCCTAAAGAAAAGCTTAAGCCCAAAAGATTTCCATGCAAAACTGTGTAATTCACAGCAGGAGTAACTCCTAGCAGCAGCAACAAGTGACAGGACTTCAGGGCCACCAGCTCCACGTCCACCAGCCATCCTCGCGTTTGGGTCACTCTTCAGCGAAACACAACTGCCTTTTTTCACCGAGCATCTAGTGATGCCAGCGTGGAGCTGAGAGACGCTGCCCCAGACGGCTGCCGGCATTCAGAATCCCCAGGAATTTGATCTTAATAAAAGTGCTTAGAAAAAATATTTACCTATTACTACCACAGTCAGCAGTAACAGTCAAATCCTTCCTCTCCCCAATATCCCGCTCCAACAAGATGGTTTATGTATTGTCTCAATGCTATTTTATGTCTTACGACCAAATGCATTAAACCTCCTGGATTTTTCATGCAAGAAAATAAACTTATTGATATGCTGCTTTATATTCCTGGCCACAGTCAGTCCAAGGACTGTGAAAAAGCACATCAGTACCTGTTAACTCAGGCTCGCAGGAATTTTTATTACTTTTTTTTTTTTTCCCCAAAGGAAAAAAAACCCGGCAACTGATTTCAGGAGAGCAGGACGCGTTAGCGGGACGGCGTAAGTGTATTGATCCCGCCTTTGCAGTTCTCCTCCCTGTACGTGGCAGCGGCTGCGTGGTCCGTGAAGCAAACCCGGGGCAGTACCTGCTGTGCCGTTTGGCCCGTGCCCCCAGCAGCAAAGGCTGCTTGTTTAAGACACAAAGACTTGGTTTTAGGGTCTTCCCAGCCCAAATCTTGTGCCCAATAATAAAGCAGCGTGGAAATTCACAGTGCTGATCGCCTGAACAGCCCTTGTTGCTGCCCGCATGGAGGAGCACTATGGGCACACATGGCTGTCACTGACACCGGTGGGAGTGGGTGGGCAGATGGAAGTGACTCTGACTGCCCATTGCACACGGGGGGGTAGAAAGTCTCCAGCGTTACCCAAACCTGCATGTTTTCCTCGGGAAAGCGGTTAACGAGCTGGGGTGTTACGAAACAACCCACAATTACATCTTGGAGTAACTACGCTTAACTTCAGAGACAGAAATAAAACCTAGATGAAATTTTTTTTTTTTTTTTTTTTTTTTTTGTTTTTTTTTTTTTTTTTTGGCTTTAAGCATAACATTTTCCCTTCTCCGCTCGGAGCAGCTCTCTGGATACCGGGCTGCTCTGTGCAGGGGCCTCTTCCCCTCCGAACGCACATTTTTCACCGCAGCGAAGCCCTGAATGCAGTCAGGACCCCGCAGCTCCACAATAACCCTCCTGTTCTCCGCTTCCAGGCTCACAGTCCCTCCAAGAGGCTTTTTTAAACCTGCCCGGAGCCGGCACAGAAGGGCCATTGTGAAACCCCCGTGGTGCTGCTGCGATCGCTTACACAGAAACTTCGCTTTAAAGCTGGAGTCGAGGAAGCCGGCGAACACACGGCTACTGTTCCCCCGCAAGCCCCGAACAAATGTCGTTCACTTTGCCCTGCTGGCTTCTTTTAGATGAGAATGAATTAATTTAAATAAAAAGTTGCATTTATTCTGAGGTGTGGGGCCCAGGTGTGTTGCTGTTCAGAAAGAGAAATCACTGAGCAAACAGTAATTTAAAAAAAAATAAATCCAGAAACCCTAATCAAGCATCTGACTAACAAAAAAGCGCGAATCGGCTCTCCTGTGCTCATGGGGAGCAAGGCTTTGGTGAAATCAGCACACAGAGCAGGGAGAAAACCAAAATAATCGTCTATTCTGGCTAGAATAGGATCCCAAAGTCACTTTTAAACAACCCATGCTGTCTAAAACCAGCACGAGTTCCTGAACTGAAACGGAAACAAGGACAGGAAGAGAGGAGACAGGATGCACGAATCCTGCTCCCTGCCGTGGGGTCCCTCTCGGGCACGCAGAAGCCTCAGAGCGTGGACCGCGACAGCCGACGTACCCACCTTCCACCAAGCCCGCTTGTGTTTGCTGGGGTGACATCAGCTACACCGCGTTTGGGGGGCCTGTCACGCCCGACTGTCACCTCTCCCAAACAGGAGTTGGTACAGATGTCTTCTCCTTACCCTGTCACCTAACTCTCCACGAATTCCAGTTGGACCAGGAAGGCCAGGCTCCCCACTGGCACCTTTGGGACCCTGTTGGGAAAACAGAAAAGAGTGAGCTACAGCTTAAAGTGCCGAGAAACCCTGCGTCTCTCGACGTCCCCAAGCTCACCAGGCTCCGTAACGTGTTCAGAAAGGTCATTTGTCTTAGATCTCCCCTCCCCTTTTCCCCAGGACCTGGGGGCCGCGCGCTGACCGCTTGCGTTGGTCGGCACAGCTCACCCCGACTTCTGCCCCACCACGTTTCAGCCGCCCTGCCAAAGTGCCCCAGCCTTCGCTTGCGCTAATAAAACCACGGCTGCGACCGCCGACCGGGAGGCAGCACCCGGCGCCGGTTTTCGGCCAGTCTCACTGGGGCGCGGACGGTGGTGGTGAACGCTCCCTCGGAGAGCGGAGGAGGAAATAGGAGAGTCCCTGGTGCAGCAGAAGGGAGGAGGAGGTCACTGAAGACACACAGGCTGGGAGCGTCCACGTCGAGGAGAAATTAAGGTGTCTTTACCTAGGTCAAACTCAAACCCTTCTTTTGCAAACAAGTACCAAGTACAAATTGTTCCAGCAGGCAGCTTCTCTGGCCTTGTGCTTTCTCTGCTGCGCTGTGTTAATAAACCTGCATTGTGTGACTCTGGTCCTGGCAACCGGACAGGCGTTTCTTCCTACCGCTTGTTGCCACCGTGCGCCCGTCTTGCCAGCCGTTTGCCGAAAAGCGGCCGGCCAAGGCACCACGCAGGTTAAGCGACCCTTGTCAGCATACCAACCTGGAAACCTCTGACGCCGGGGGCTCCCGTCGGGCCTTGAAGACCAAGTGGGCCCTGAAGGAGAAAGATAAACTTTGGTAAGGAGAGTGTTCGGCCCCAGGTGCGCGACTCGTGCGGTCAAAGCGGCTCCCCGCCCGCCCCC